CCGGAATATTTGCTGTATTAAGATCCTTTGACCCACTTAATTGGATTAGGATGTTAGTGTTCACTGGTAAATTTGAACTTGCTGGTGTGCGAGGTTCAGATGAAGCAGTTGGAACGATGGTATTGGATTCTTCCACAGGAATGGTTGTTGTAGTCGGATCAGTTGAACTTGATGGTGTGCTAGGTTCAGATGAAGCACTTGGTAGCTTTAAACTGGTATTATCCCCCAGAATCGTTCCCGTATTAGGATCAGTAAACGAGTTTAATTTCGTCGAGTTATTAGGCTCCACATGTGAGTTATGTTCAACTGGTAAGCTTGGACTTGCTGGTGCGCTGGGATCGGATAAAGCACTTGGAACGATGGTATTAGACTCTTCTACAGGAATTGTTGTAGTAGGATCAGTTGACGCACTTATTGGGATGTTAGAGTTCACTGGCAAAATTGAAATTGCTGGGGTGTTATTATCAGATGTAGTACTTGGAACGATTGAATTGGTTTTGTCTACTGAAATATTTGCTGCATTAAGATCTGTTGAACTTAATTCGACTAGTATGTTGGAGCCTACTGGCAAGTTATGCTCATCTGATAAGCTCGGTCTTGCTGCTATAGTAGGATCTGGTGAAACATTTGAATTGTTTTGAACAACCGGAATGGTTACCGTATTAGGATTACTTGTTGCGCTTATATTAATAGAGGTGTTAGGGATCACTGGTGAGCTTTGTTCGACTGGTAAGCTTAGAATTGACAGTGCGCTAGGATCAGATAAAGTCCTGGGATCGACTGGATTTTTATTTTTCAGATTTGACTCGCTCAGGTCAACTGGTGTGTCCGATTCAAGTGCATTTATCTGTGTTGTAACCGCTGAGCTGTCTGGAGATATTGTAGGATTTGCCTCTATTGGCGCTTTAGTTTCAAATGTCACATAGTGCTCCTCATTTCCAGTTACTGTAGTTTCATAATAAATCTCTGTTATTGAATCAGAAAATTTATTCGTAGACATTACCGAATGAAGATTCTCTGAATTATTTGAGTCTGCTAGCAAATAAGAATTATCTGAGAAATTGGGATCAGTGGAAAAGTTTGTAATAGTAGTGTTTCTATGCGTTTCATCTATTATTGATCCGATCTCAAAGCGATTATTGAAG